ACCTCTATCAGATGTATCGCTGGTGAAGATTTTCTCCCATTCTGTGGGTTTTCTGTTTGTTTCCTTGGTTGTCTCCTTTGGTGTACAGAAGCTTTTTAGTTTAATGAGGTCCCACATGTTAATTCTTGCCCTTGTGTCCTGGGCTATTTGTGTCCGGTTTAGGAAATCCTTTCCTATACCTATATCTTTTAGGTTTTTCCGAATGTTTTCTTCTAACAGTTTCAGAGTTTCAGGCTTTACATTGAGGTCTTTGAGCCATTTTGAACTGAATTTTGTACAGGGTGAAAGATAGGGTTTTAGTTTCATTCTTCTACAGGTGGAGATCTAGTTTTGCCAGCACCATTTGCTGAACATGCTGTCTTTCCTCCAGCGAATATTCTTGGCCCCTTTGTCAAATATCAGGTGGCTGAAATTGCATTTACTCATATTTGGGTCTTCAGTTTTGTTCCATTGATCTATGGGTCTATTTTTGTGCCAGTACCATGTTGTTTTTATGACTATAGCTCTGTAATACAGCTTAAAATCTGGTATAGTAATCCCCCGAGCATTGCTCTTAGTGCTCAGGGTTGTTTTGGTTATCTGAGTCTTTTGTGCTTCCATGTGAATCTTAGGATGTTTTTCTCCAATTCTGTGTGAAGAATGTCATGGGAATTTTGATTGGCATTGCATTGAATCTATAAATGACTTTTGGTAGGATGGTCATTTTCACATTATTAAATCTTCCAGTCCATTATCATATGTGGTCTTTCCATCTTCTGGTGTCTTCCTTGATCCCTCAATCTCTTTCTTTAAAGATTTAAAATTTTCATTGTAGAGCTCTTTAATGTCTTTGGTCAGGTTTATTCCAAGATATTTTATTTTTATGTAGCTATTGTGAAGGGGAATGTTTCCATGTGCTCTTTCTCTGATTGATTGTTATTTTTATTTCAGTACAAATACAAAGATGGTTACCGAAAGCAGCTGGGCCACCACATTGGAGCCCGGAACATCGAAGATGACCCTAAGATGATGTGGTCCATGCACGTGGCTAAGATCCAGAGTGACAGGGAGTACAAGAAGGACTTTGAGAAGTGGAAGACCAAGTTCAGCAGCCCAGTGGACATGCTGGGGGTGGTGCTGGCCAAGCAATGCCAGACCTTGGTCAGTGACGTGGACTATAAGAACTACCTGCATCAGTGGACGTGCCTGCCAGACCAGAACGATGTGATCCATGCTCGGCAGGCCTATGACCTCCAGAGCGATGTGAGTGTGAGATCTATGGTAACCATGCTCATGATAGTAATACATAGGAATATATAGAGAGGTTTAGCATCCTCAGAGAGGTGATGTGACTTATTTCTGTTCCTTCTGTTTTCATATTCCCTTTACTTATTTGTTTTTAAATGTTTTTAAAATTATATTTATTATTTTTATTTTATGTACATGTGTGTATTGCCTGCTTGTAGGTAAGTGCACCCATGTCGTGCAATGCCCACAGAGATCAGAAGAGGCTGTTGGATTCCCTGGGACTGGAGTTATGGATAGTTGTCAGCTGCCATGTGGGTGCTGGGATTCGAACCTGGGTCTTCTGCATGAACAAACCAGTGTTTTTAACCACTGAGCCATCTCTCCAGCCCCACTGTTTTTAAACTTTTAAAAAAATTTATTATTTTTATTTTATGTGCTTGTGTATTGCCTGCATGTAGGTAAGTGCACCTGTGTCATGCAATGCCCACGGAGGTCACAGAGGCTGTCGGATCCCCTGGGACTGGATTTACGAACAGTTGTTAGCTGCTATGTGGGTGCTGGGATTCAAATCCAGGTCTTCTGCAAAAACAACCAGTGTTCTTAACCACTGAGCCATCTCTCCAGCCCCTCCCTTTACTTATTTTTTAAAAGAGGACATTATTCCACAAGATGAAATATAATTTTGCTTTCTTCATTTTAAGGACATAATTTGTATTAATTTCAAAAGCTTCTACTCCTTTTTCTTCATTTTTTTTAATCAGGAGCCATAACAAGTTCAGTAATACTTTTTTGTTTGATCTCACTAGGATATTCATAAGTTTATAATGGATGAGAGGAACTGGCTGGGTCCCTATTGTGTTTATGGATGTGGTCACAATTAAGAGAGCTGCAGAGATTCTTGCTGATAGCATCTCTTTTTTCCTCTTCTCAGAATGTGTACAAGTCAGATCTCCAGTGGCTGAGAGGCATTGGCTGGGTCCCCATCGGGTCTCTGGATGTGGAAAAGTGCAAGAGAGCTGCAGAGATCCTGAGTGACAACATCTACCGCCAGCCTCCAGACAAGCTGAAGTTCACCAGTGTGACTGACTCTCTGGAACAGGTGCTGGCCAAAAGCAACGCCCTCAACATGAACAAGGTGAGACCCAGTCTGATGAAAATGAAAACTGCATTGTGTGTCATTTAGAATTAATGCCTGTGGTTTTTAAGTTACTCTTTTTTGTCTGAATCAATTAAATTCTTATATAAAATACAATGATTTGGCTGGGCATGGTGGCACACGCCTTTAATCCCAGCACTTGGGAGGCCGAGGCAGGCGGATTTCTCTGAGTTCAAGGCCAGCCTGGTCTACATAGTGAGTTCCAGGACAGCTGGGGCTACAGGGAGACCCTGTCTCAAAAAAAAAAAAAATACAATGATTTGAGTTCTATGTACCCTTATATAAGAGTTCTAAATACATTGGGAGAATTTCTGCTTTGTGAAATTGCCAGAGCTAAGAATAGGATGGCTGTTTGGGGTTCAAAATGTTTGAAGTCTGCAAGAGTAATATATTATTTGTTATCAAGCCTTCTTTCTTCAAATTTAGGAAAGTTTTTGATTGTAGACATCATAAATATATGGATGTGTAAATGTGCTTGGGAAATAGTTGCTTTTTCAACTTTAATTGGGCTGTGAGGGACCTGGTAGCATGTATGTTTGAGTATCTGTATGTTTTTCTTATATTTGTATATGTTCATAAACTAGTTATAATAATAATAAATATTCTGTAAAATCAAAGAAGTTGAAAAAACTGTAAACACACAATATACCATACAGATAACAAAGAGGCTGATGATTTCAGTTTGCTCATGAATTGTTCATTGAAAACTCTTGTTTAAAAATATACGTTGTGAAAAAAAAAAAAGAAAAAAAATATACGTTGTGGGGGGCTGGAGAGATGGCTCAGCAGTTAAGAACACTGACTGTTCTTACAGAAGACCCAGGTTCAAATCCCACGACCCACATGACAGGTAACAACTATCTGTAACTCCAGTTCCAGGGGATCTGATGGCCTCTTCTGTCCTCCACGGGCATTGC